CTGTAGTCCCAGCTACTCGGGAGGCTGAGGCAGGAGAATGGCGTAAACCCGGGAGGCGGAGCTTGCAGTGAGCTGAGATCCAGCCACTGCACTCAAGCCTAGGCGACAGAGCAAGACTCCGTCTCAAAAAAAAATTAACCAGGCATGGTAGTGGGTGCCTGTAGTCCCAGCTACTCGGGAGGCTGAGGCAGGAGAATGGCGTGAATCCGGGAGGTGGAGCTTACAGTGAGCTGAGATCGTACCACTGCACTCTAGCCTGGGTGACAGAGTGAGACTCCATCTCAGAAAAAAATTTAGGCCTTTTGCAGTGGCTCACACCTGTAATCCCAGCACTTTGGGAGGTCAAGGAGGGTGGATCATGAGGTCAAGAGATCGAGATCATCCTGGCCAACATGGTGAAACCCCATCTCTACTAAAAATACAAAAATTGCCAGGCACGGTGGCTCACCCCTGTACTCCCAGCACTTTGGGAAGCTGCGGCAGGCGGATCACCTAAGGTCGGGAGTTCTAGACCAGCGTGGCCAACATGGTGAAATTCTGTCCGCACTAAAAGTACAAAAATTAACCAGCCATGGTGTTGCGCACCTATAATCCCAGCTTCTCGGGAGGCTGAGGCAGGAGAATTGCTTGAACCCGTGAGGTGGAAGTTGCAGTGAGTCGAGATCATACCACTGTACTCCAGCCTGGGCAACAGAGCAAGACTCCATCTCAAAAAAAAAATATATATATATACACAAAAATTAGCTGGGCGTGGAGGTGCATGCACAGCTGTAGTCCCAGCTACTCAGGAGGCTGAGGCAGGGGAATCGCTTGAACCCAGGAGGCGGAGGTTGCAGTGAGCTAAGATGGTGTCACTGCACTCCAGCCTGGTGACAGAGCAAGACTCCATCTCTACAAAAAAAAAAAAAAAAATTTATTGGGCCAAGTACAGTGGCTCATGCCTATAATTCCAGCACTTTGGGAAGCTGAAGTGGGCAAATCACCTGAAGTCAGGAGTTTGAGACCACCCTGGCTAACACCATGAAACCCAGTCTCTATTAAGAATACAAAATTAGCCAGGCATTGCCAGGCAATGTGGCTCACACCTGTAATCCCACCGTTTTGGGAGGCCAAGGTGGGCGGATCACAAGGTCAGGAGATTGTGACCATCCTGGCTAACACAGTGAAACCCTGTCTCTACTAAAAATACAAAAAATTAGCCTGGCATGATGGCGGGTGGCTATAGTCCCAGCTACTCAGGAGGCTGAGGCAGGAGAATGGCATGAACCTGGGAGGCTGAGCTTGCATTGAGCAGAGATCGCGCCACTGCACTCCAGCCTGGGCAACAAAGTGAGACTCTGTCTGAAAAAAAAAAAAAAA